GAAGATTAATGAAGGATGATGGTGACAAGGAAACACACGGTAATTTTAACAAAACAAGTTAAGGAATTTATTCACGAATTTACACGCTTGAAGTAGTATCTGTAGCTTACTTTAGGAAAATAAATCAAAATTCTTTATGGCCGTAGTTTTAACCTAATGTCATGAACAGGAAATGTTCATACAACAGATTAAATGATCTGGCACAAAATGATATTAAAAAATGTTTAAGACAAAGGTAAGAGAGTTCGTTGTTCACAGAAACGATATATGGTTTGCATACTTTCAAAAGTAGACGAAGGAAGATAGATTGAAATACTTAACATTCTTGGATTATTGAGAGGACATTCTTTGAAATGCCGAGTGCTTGTTAGAGGCCGATAATATAATTAGCGAATAATTTTACACTGGCGAAAACTTCAACGCTGGTCTTGAACAAAAACGACACCTTTCATATGACTTCAGACACTCTTCTCTTATTATTTTGCTTTTTCTCATTTTATAACAAAAGGAATTTCGCGTAGATTCGCGAATTTATTTCCTTCTTCTTCTTGGTTGACCGGCTAATTTATGTGAAGGCAATGTTTTCATTGGTCAAAAAAACAAAAAACAAAAATAACATTTCACATAGGCTCACGAATTCCTTTCCTTTATCTTCTCATCTCACCGGTCAATTTCTTTGAAGGCAAGGTTTTCATTGGTCCAAAGAAAATTTCACATAGGCTCGCCAATTTCAGTCCCGCTTCTTCCGCAGCTCATCCGGATTTGAAAGGAGTGGGTGAAGGGAGTTATTAATATTTCACAATCACTACATATTTTCCTGATGTGAATAAAAACACTTTTCTTTTAGAGTTTATTGCAATTAGAAAGAAACTGTCTATGTTCAAGTGTTCACTGAAAAGAAAAAAATAATGTTTTTAATTTTAGAGTTCACTTAAAGGTAAAAATACGTGCAGATACCATTCGAGATGGAATTGTTAAAACTCACAGATCGTATCAGAAGTAGGAGAGAACATGGAAGTAACATGTTCAGTGGGGTAATTTTTTTTCTCCCTCTTTCAGTTCAAGGGTTTAGCTTCTTTTAAAATGTAGGGTACCTCATAGAGTCCAGGTTTTGTTTTAGGGTCGAAGCCTTCTTATTGGGTGTAATATTTTCTTTCTTTCTTGTTTTTTTTTTTTTTTTTTTTTTTTAGCGATCCCCATGTACAGTAAAACAATTTTTCTCACTTGTATTCCAGCCAAACAATCGTCAACTTCCGCTTTGTATCCTATTCACTAGACGCTCTTTACGCTAAAAGTTCCCAATAGAATAAAAAATTCTATCTCATATACATTCTTTTGTTCGTTTATTTCTTTCAACCGATTCAACATGTGTAATTTCTGTTCGTCAACTCACAATAGTATTTCAACTCTCAACCTTGTGGAAAAATGGAATAAAACCAATAAATAAAATAATAAAGAATTTAAAAAAATAAATTCATTTTTCCCATGATGCAAAAGAGAGAATCTTTCTCTTTCCACTTTCTAACAAAACCGTTCGGACGTATTTTTAGCCGTTTTGTGTAAGACGATAAACTACATCCGACAGCAAGGCTTCTGATTAGAAGGTTTTGAGGAACGTGGAACCACCTCTTAATTGCTTGTGTTCCCCGGTCTACCCTGACCTGTGGTGGTAGCACCTGTTAGGGTCCCAGCTATGGGCAAATAGTTAACCCCTAAACAGGGGTCAAAACACTATGAAAGTGTAAAGTAGGTTTTAATGCCAGCAATACAATTTTGTAAAAAAATATTACTAGCAATACATTCTTGAAAAAAGGAAAATTACCAGCAATACATTTTTGAAAAAAAAAAAAAAAAAATGTTACCAGCAATACATTTTTGAAAAAAAAAATGTTACCAGCAATACGTTTTTGGGAAAAAAATATTACCAGCAATACATTTTGGAAAAATACTAGCAGAAATACTTTTGGAAAAAAAACATTGCCAGCAATAAAAATCTTGTCAGCATTAAATAACCCATTGAGACTGATATGCCGTAAAACAAACCAAACCAAACCAAACGTATTTTCAGCAACCCTACTCATGAAGTAGGGATTCGGTTATCCCAACTCATTGCATGGCTGACTTGAGCTCGACCGTCTTTACCCGTTCTTAATCCTTACTTCCCATAAATTAATTCTGAACCTAAAAGGAAAACGAACATACTCAAGAGACATTTAATTTTGTTTCAATAAAGTCATCTTAAAAGAAATAAACGTCCGTAGCAGAAACTCAAGTTTTGTCGTATGCTTCTATCTTTTTTGCTAATATATTGAACACGCACCTTCACCTAAAAAATGCACACAAAACGCACAACCTTGTTAACATCCACAACCTCAAAGGTTACTTCAAAATAACAAGAGAAATACTCTTATTTAGTTTTGCATATACTTGCTATAGTTATGCACAGTTGACGATATTTTTCAATTTTAAAGTTTATACTTTAATTTTTACATTAACACCCCTAGCACGTTGGGCAGAGTCACTATATTACGTAACTGATAGTATTTTGGAATTCACTAATTAAGATCTCAAGAACCAAAAGAAAAATGGAAGTGACTTAGCAAAATGACAGGCGTCTAATGCTGCACGTTAAGGCCACAGCGATCAACAAATTTTTCAATAGAGCAGCCTACATGAAGAGAATTATACGAGATCAAGATAGAGTAAGCTGTAGCAGTTAAAAATGTGAACGTTGATCTTCTTACTCTAGGTTCGGGAAAAATGAGTTTTTGTTGCCTCTCTGATGGAAAGGTGGATTCTAATCGTTGTAGAATCTAAACTTGATGTAGTAGTATCTGTTTCTTCTGTGTTATCATCCTTCTTCTTATTATAATAAATGGAGACTGTCCTTAAAGCATTTTTTACTTCTATCTTTTTTGTGTCTATATTATTCATATTTACATAAATTATTCTGCTCTTCACTAAACCGTCAAATAGAAGTAGTGGCGTAACAATACAATCACTAAGAAACTCCCGTTCAAATGATTACCTTCCTAAGCTAAGCAGGTCCTGAAGCATATATTTTAATAATTATGTTTACATCTGCCTGACCATGTCTCCTAGACACACAACCTGGTAACCAATCATAGTAACAATGAGAATCAATAATGAATCGTATCATCGAAGGATCATAATTTGTATAAATATCACGTGATCCCCTAATCAAACGCTCTGCAACTGAATAAGCATGTTTATTGTTTATTGTCATTTTTATTCAATTTGGTAGCTAATGTTTTGGAGCTTTTTTTTTAGATCTAATAGTAGACTGCAAAACCATTTTTCATTTTTTATGTTCATTGCCACAAAAGTTTGTTTAAACATTGCCACAGAGTTAAATATGAGTAAAATTATAACCAGGCGGGGCAGAAGGGTTTCATATTTTCACCAAACATGGAAAGTTTAGTACATCGATATGCTATTGGACAAAAAAAGAATAAACACATTTTACGTTGTTTCGTTTCATTGGTCGTTTATAAACAGTTCATGATTATGATTGGTTCATAATATTCAATTTCGTCATCAAACACATTTGGAACCACCCTATGTTCTCTTCTGTTGCGTTATATAAGTTTTAGTACATTTTTTGTTATTTCTTATTGTCTTATTATAATAACTATAGTTGCAGTAGTAATATTTCTTACTGTTTTATAGTTACCGTAACAGTACTAGCTATTTTTAAAAAAAAATTAAAATTGTTAAAGAGACATCTAGTTTATTTTCAAGTGGTTATAGACGCGGTTATATAGCGTTTTATTTTGAGGTAACAATAGCAGTACTCGTCATAGATCGTAAAATATATCTTTAAATAAATACACAATTTTGCTTTTTTCATTTAGTTTAAATTTGTTAATTCATAAAATAAAAATACAAGTTAAAAAGGTATCTTTTTCTGAAGTAATTAAAAATATTTTTCTTCATCACTGCTGTGATAAGCCTATGATCAATTTAAATTTTAATCAGTTATTACTAATTATTTAGTTATTTAAAAAAAGAGAGTGTATTGATTAGTGGACTTGAACTAAGGATTAAATCTTCGATCATTAGTAGTGTGGTAAGATTTTTTGTTTTTATTTTTCATCACTCACCATTTATGTTGGCGATCATAATTTATTGTTATTTTTTTACATATGAAAATAAAAGTGGTTATTAGTAATAGTTGCGGCAGTAGTAGATATCTCTCTCGTTTCGTTTATTAATTCATTCTCACCATCTTTCTCACTCGAGTATTTTCTAGTAATTTCTTTTCTTTCTAGACGTATTTTTCCCCTCTTTCGTTATATACTTGTCTCCCTTTTTTTTCCACTTGAAAGCGGTGCTCATTCTCTACATATCACCTTCTCTCTTTCTTTCCGCCTCTTCCTTCTTTATTGACAACAGAATCACTTTCTCATAGTGGAGAAGTTTCGAGAGACTAGACAGTATTGATTTTACTATCGTTACCGCCTACTACTTGAACCGATTCGAAACATCATCATCGACCAATGAAAATGGAAATATTTCGTAGAATGTGAGAGAGGGAAAAACAGATATAGTCTTCTGTAACTACTCCACACGCACATTATTTTATTCCTACTAGCCGGAGCAAGGAAGTTGGTGGACATATGGATAGCATACACCGTAAAGAAAGCCACCATAATATCATCACCAGTGATAATTGTTAAATCTTCTTACTTAATTGAATGTTAAGTTCTACAATTTCTGTATTCAGCTCAGAATATAGATCACCTGCTGGGCCTTAAATCTATATAACTATTTATCCGTCTATCATAGAAGGTGGGAATTTAGATTATTGACATTTTGTTTTTGTCCGAGTCCCGCCATTTAACTGATCGCAGCATTCATTTTACTATTTTTTTAGCCAAAATATTTATTCTCACTCTTTGAGTTTGAAGATTTGATAAATAAAAGGATTCGATTCCTTCATTTGATTTATTAAGGTCAGAATATTTTTAACTTGAATGATGCCAGGAGACGAAAGAGAAGCGCGAATTCCGTCCAATATGAAAGATTTGCTTAAGTTTTGTATGGAGAACACAAAAACAGAAGATGCGCCTGGCGCCGACAGTTCGAGTTCTGATGTCAAAGAACTTGGTTCTGAGGTAAGTTGCTTTTTACTTGTTTGTTGGGGATTTAAACCTTTTTCTTTCATTTGTTTACGACGATGACGACTTCATAAACATCAACTGTTCACGCCATCAGGCGCCTGCTACACTTACTACAGTTTTACCAGACAGATCGTTTTCTCTTTAAGTCTTAAGACTTTTTACTTTAATGGTCAAGAACAAAATTCTAATTATGAGTTGATGAGACGTGTCTTCCTTCACGTAACTCGCCCCTACAAAAGTCTTGGTTTCTTAAAAAGAAACCTTTTTCAAATTTGTTAGTTGGCTCACTCGTGGAATATCCAGTGAAGTTTAAATTAAAATAAATAGTCTGCAGTAAATAGCTTGCGAATTGTTTCTCCAGTCCATGTCATTGTGTGTATATTTATTTATTATTTTAAATTAAAGCTTTGCCTAGCAGTGCTGTTTCAACGAAACAACCAAATGAGATTCTTACAATTAAAGAACGTGTTTATTCAAAAGTGTCACAGTCTGTTGTACACAACCTCAACAAGGAAACCGACATATCCGCCTTTTCTATCCGCATAAACGCAATGTTTATCGATTTTATTTCATTTTATTTTTATGTGTGTGTGTAAATACTTGAGATTTATTTCACAACGCACAGATACGCACATTCTGCCGATCCATAATCTCATTTTGACTGACATGTATTCTAGTTATTTGCATTTTGAATAAATAAAAATGCCATTTTTATACGAAGGTTTTATTTTACAAATGATATGTTATTTGGGTTGGGATTCTTTTGTGGTAAACTAAAACTAAAAAATAATTACTGTGTAGTTAAAAAAAAAGCGACTCGGTCATTTGACGGATGTTTTTTCCTTCGATAAGGGATTTTTATGTTTCGGCAAAACAGTTTTGCTATTGGGACCAGCATGCTCATCTTGGCTGTTAAATTATCGTAACGTTTCGGCTGTTAATGTCTGGTATTCTTCAGGTGCTGGTCTTTGTAAAACTACTCAGACTGTAACAATCTGATCAGAATTTCGAACCGAACTCTTTACTACTTTTAATTCAATGTAAAACTGACTGATTCTTCTCATTCTCCTTTCCATGCTTACTTGGTATTTCGTATTGGTTTTTGTTGTAGTAATCACCGGTCTTATTCACTTTCGTGGCATAATATGGGTCTCTGGGTCTGGTAATACTGAAAAAAGAAAAGTAATATACAGACACAGTCCAGTGACTGAAACAAACAAGTGACACAAAAAAAAGTAACCCCAGCCCTATTTTTAGATTATTAATCTTAATTTTCATCATCGATTTATTTTTTTATTCCTTTCAAATTCCAAAAAAGCTTTCAATTCTTAACCAGATTTTATTCTCATTTTTAGTCCATTTATTTAAAATTTTAAAAACGCTTATTTATTGATTTTCATTTGGTTTACCCAACCAAATGTTTCATTCAGACAAAAAAGTTGTTCCACAAAACAAAACAAAATTATTTTCTTTTTCTATCACTCATTTACGACAGAACCAATTTTTGACGGTTTTTAGTGTTTATCAGACTTCTTTTTTTATTCTAAACTCCAAATGTGAAATGTTGAAGAAATGTATATTTTTTTGGTCTTACCTAAAAAGTTATTTTAATAAAGTACAATACGTCTCTTGCTAAGTAAGAAGACCTTGACTACGGAGAAAAAGGTTTAAAACTAAAAAAGAAAAAAAATGAAAAACGCTTAAAAATCATTATGATTAAAAAAAAAAAAAAACCCAAAAAGTTGAAGTTGAAAATACTCACACTTGACAATACAATTGTAGGTTTGTTTATTTTATTTTATTTTATTTTAATTAAAGATCGAAATATTCGCTTTCACACTTCATGTAAAAAAATAACTATTTATGCTAAAATAATTTTCGCGTGGATGCTTTTTGTCCAAAATAAAATTTTAAAAAACCCTAGTCGTTACTGTTAAGTTAATAAACATTTAAACAAACAAAAATACATTCTTTTTTTCTTTCTCTACTGGCTTTTCAGTAGTAATTTAATGTCTGTGTAGGAATCAATAGTAAATAATTGAATGAAAAAAATCTAGTAATTTATCATCAGTATTATTCTCTTTCTTCGTACCATTGTTTTTTTTATTTATGAGAGAAGGCGAGCAAATGGTCACATTTTTAAATTAAAACCATTTATTAATTTGTTTGTTAACGCAGTTGTTTACAAACAGTTGCGAACTGATAATGTTTTAAAATATCAGGAGGAATGACGTAATGTTTGTGTTCATCTCAAATGTTATTCATGCAACATTATCAATTGACTCGACTCGAAAGAAAAATTGTATGTCTATTCTCCTCCACTATTTTAAATCCCCCCATTTTTGATTAAATTTAATTACGAAGGAAGGATTATTAACTAATATTTTTTCTTTCTTTTCCATTGACATTAAGATTGTTATTTTTTTTTAACTACTCCCACCACTCGTAAATTTGCGGTAGTATCGTAGTAGTTGTATTTATTTAATTTATGCTAATCGTTACTCTCGTGACTTGAGCACGCATTTATGAATGGAGGGAGGGATGAATGAATGACATCACTATGTGATCGTGTGTATTTGAATAATGACAATTCAATATTGATCTGTGGGTGTTGTCAAGAATTTGTTAGATATTGCCGCATCGTGATCACGAGGAAATTACTACTACATTTATTATTGTATTTTAAATGAAAAATGGGGAAGATTTGAAAATGAAAACAAGTATTTATCTTGCTTGCCAACGATAGTAGAAAATACTACTGAATGCTTGTATTGTGAGAAATGTACATTTTAAATATTTTTAAAGTTAACAATTGGAGAAACATTAAGCTTTTGGTTTTAATTACTTTTTATTTTCAATTGCGAGAACATAATTACATGTCAGTCAACTTTTTAGTCTTTTAGTAAGTTGGTTAAAAACAATCCTCTAATTTTGGGTTGAATTGAAAAACAAAATTGACAAATGAAAAAAGGTTTCACCATCTCCTGAGGATTAAAAAAAAAAAAAATTAAATATAGATAGTGAAGTTGAACATTTTAGACGTTATTTTTCATTTATCTTTTCTTTCTTTTTTTTCTTTTTTTTTTAATGCAACCCCCTTTTATAACCAAAAGAGGTAAATTTGACATTTTTCTTTAATTCTAATCATTTCCATTTTTACAAATTTATATTGGTCACAGAAAGTTGAATTATTTCATTTTCATCTATGGAAAAAAGGTACTCAGAATATGAGGCTAGCTAAAGGAATTTAAAGGAAATAATTCAATATGTAGTATGTCAAAAAAAGAAAAGAAAAGATACATTTTTTTTTTTTTTTTTTTTTACCTCAATATTTCGTTTAGACTATTTTGTAATCTCAGTAACAAATTCATTGAACTTAGCAACTGTATGACAATGAGTTCGATAAAAATTAATTAAATGCTACCAAATTTTTTTTTTTAAGAAAAAAGATGAAGGGTTAAATCAATAATGCCATAAACACAAAGGGGTATGAGCTGACTGTGACCACATAAGATAAGACATTAGTTTTGTTTAATGAAATAAAGACACACATGCTAGATTTTTTGTGGTTTAGTAATTAGTTTCAATTTCTACTAATGAAAGAAACAGGAGAATAAAGAAAAAAAAAACAAGTTTTCTAGCTTGATTTGAGTTCATAGAAAAATAATACTACCTGTGATAGCACACAGCACCCATTTGTGTATAAAAGTTTAATTAACAGCTAGGTTTGGCTACACTTGTATAGCTTCAGTGTCTCACTAGCTGAAAATGAGTCTTTTTGGCAAGGAGGTAGCCTTGGTTTTTCTAAATACATTCATAGTACAATAGCAAGTTGCATTCATTTTGTACTGTTATTTAAATTTTAGATGATAAACACATGGCTGGCAATAACTGTGAATAGTGAATTATTACTATTATTATTATTATTATTATTATAGAACTCTTGAATGACAGCTTCCTGTGGAAAGAATTTGAAAAGGAAAAAATGTCTATAAAAAAAGTAGGAGACCTAATTTAAATTTGCCAAACATGCATACCAAGAACAAAAATTTTATTTCATGTTTTCATTCCAGTCTGTGATTTAAAAAAAAAAAAAAAAAAAAAATTGGTTGATTGGAAGTGCTAAATTAGACAGATTGATTTGTCAACCTAATGTTTGAGTCTGAAAAAAAAAATGTTATTAAAAAGATTATAGTGACTTAAATAATTTACACATTGGCTTGTAAAACCATGAATATTCTCAAAAGCATATTATACCAAAAATTGAGCGAAAATCCTTTAGGAATGTACATATAGAATTAGACGAACAAAACAGACTTCATACAGAACAACATTAATAAAAGAAATTAGTAATGATAGGGCAATTCTGCAGAAGTTAATAGATAGTCATATTTTTAGGTCATCAGGAAATGTCACTTGAGAATTTCCCAATGTGTAGAAATCATGTAAAACTTGTAAATCTAATTTGTCATTATGACAAAAGTTTTTGCAAACCATTCAACTTCAGCAGTATATTTTTTTTCTCTTGCCTGGACTATCAATCAGAATTTAGAATAATTTGTTCAAAGAAATTAAAATTGTCATATTGAAGGAAATATAAATTCATTTACCCAGGTTTTTTTTTTTTTTTTTAAACTTCTGATTCAATAAATTCTTGACTATCAAATGTACTGATATATTAAAAGTGAGAAGGACCTGGAAAAATGATTTGCTAGCTTTATAGACCTGAGAGCAGGCTGTTCATTTTGTACATTAGTTGACTATATAGTTGATTGAAAAACTGATGTGTGAAAATAAACTGATTACTTCAGCTTACAATATTGCTACTACAATGGTAGATAATGTGAATGAATTGCAGTTCAAAGTTAAAGAAAAATACCCATCTGCAGTCGTCATTCATTGTTGTACATGTGTATTAAATTTAGAAGTCTGTGTAGCTATAAGTGTGTGTGTGTGTGTGTAAGATAATCTTTTTTTTTTTTCCTCTTTCTTCA